CCAAAAAGTTACTATAGCAACATACTGAATCTTGCTGTGTTGATAGTGTGCACCAGATTAACGTTACCCTACCATGAACTTTAAATTTAAACGTCGTCTATATAAAAAATCCATAGTAATCACTTCAAACAATAAAAAATAAATGAAAAGAATGTTTTCGGATATTTTTAAATAAACTACATACTGCCAACGTTTCGGTTACTTTACAGCAACCACGATCACGGGCAGACCAGATGTGTTTCATTTAAATGAATAGTCGAGGAAGTCTTAGAACTCATTAATATAACAATAATGTCAATACTGTAAAGCCAGTCGATGTTCACCCAATACAATGGCTTGGATCTGACCTCCTTTCAGTAGGACTCGTCGCTCTGATACTGATACAGCCCATACACTGTACCTATAACACATACAAGAACACATATATATGTAGGAACAACCTTATGATCCATGTATATGTATCATATGGACATCATGAGGAAAAACTAGGATTCATTTACAGGACTATTTTGATATGTTCTCTCCCAAAATAATAAATTAATATTGACCATTTAAACATTGCCAACGAAACATTATTTTAAGTTAGAAGGATTATTATATTCAAATAAATGTTGTACACATAATAAGTTACTTTTATCCAGTACAATTAAAAAATATATTACTAAATCTTACTAAATAAGCAAATGTATTGTTGTTTGGACTACCACAGTGTCACTGTTTTCTATCCATTGCACGAAACTTACTCCGCTCGCGATAATTTCCTAAAAAAATGAAATACCAGACAATGAAATATCATATTTATTTGACTCAATTTATCCAGCTATGTCGTTTACGCTATTTATATGAATGTGCTACCTTTTCACCGGTATCAATACGGAGAAGTGCAAGTCGTCGTCTAGTATGACGGAACAGAAGCAGATGTCCGCTCTCATTCAGCTCCAACCAATCCACTCGAGCTTCGTGCCACCATTGCCCTAACTGAACTCCTACAACATTTAACATTAATAATAATAAATATAATGCAACAAAATCAATCTTTTTTTTCATAACAAAGGAACTCTAACATCTTTTCCTTGTATGTTCCGTACCTGTAACAAGATCAATAACAGCAATCGTTTGTCTGTCAGCAGATAGGCGAAGTGTTTTCGTTTTCGTTCTTCCTCCGTCTTCCTGCCTTCATTGATACGGACAGTGAGCACGTGAGGATTCACACGCTCAGTACGAACCTCCATAAGATACGAAACATTTTAGTATAAATTAAATTACTCGACATTGTGTACATCTTGATCTATACTCACCGTTTGTAGTACTCTATCGAGGCCGTACTCCACCACACTAAGTTCGCCAGCACGCTGCAACAGACAGGCTCCACCCACAGCGGCATATATACCTCCCCTCCAACGGACTATAAACTTTTAATACTATATACAAGTTCGATAGAAAATATAACTCACTTCGCTAGTTAGACCAAGGGCTATATCGCACAGGATCAGACTATTACTGGTACGACAGACAGCGTACCAATCGTTACCTGTAACAGTCGACGTTGGTTAAATTGTTTATAAAATAAAAAGCATTCATTGTTTTACTATAAAATAAAAACATCTCAAACAAGAAAAACAAGTTACTTTATATAAATAATACTACACAAAGAACCATTTATAATTAAAAATAAGCATCAGTTTAAATCATGCTTATTTTGGCCACGACAATAAACACAACAAATAGGTTTTATAAAAGACCTACGTGAATAGTGACTCAAGTCGCCTTTATTTACTGTTTACTGAATATACATCTTGGTTGTGTACACCACTGTTTTGTTATGCTTTTTTGCTTCACGTGATTAAATTTATATCGGATGTAGGTTGCTAGAAACTCTTTTAAGTTTTTTATTCATGAAAATTGCGAAATAACTACATATTATAACCTTACTATATTTTATTACGATAATTTATGCGAATTCTATCGTTGTCCAATTTTAATTATTCCCGAATCCCGTTATATGTGTTGACAACGTGGTGTTCTTACAGATAAATTTAGAAATAGCAATTATATAATAGGTGAAAAACATATATCCGCCATAGTAATAATGAGACACATGAAAATTTTAACAAACTTAGTTGTTACGTTGCAAAATGAATGAATTCAAATGGAATAATTCTAAATTTTAAAAGAAGTATTTTTGAAAAAAAAATACAGCTCACATAAGTCATGCGTATGAAAAATAGACAATGTTTTTTTAACGAATTTGCCTTTTTATCATCGATTATGCGAATTTACATTAATTACCGTATAAAAATCTTAAGACTTTTTAAAACAATATTCGGGCGCTAATATACAAATATAAATTACTATAGATACTTCGCAAATTACGTCAATTTATATTTAGTACGTTGTAGTTCCTCTGTAACCAATGTAATTTAAAACAATTAACATGTAAAAAAAATGACCAAAAATGCCGTTACAAGAACGACAACAAATTGCTAAGGAATGAGTATAGTATATTCATTTCGTCAGTACATAATTTGTTTTCTTGGATGTAGTCACGAAATAATATGTTCAAAACAATAAATACAAACAAGTGGGCTGTATGTAATTTAAATTGAGTAAACTAAAGAATGTATTTGATAACGGCAGACACTTAAAAAGAAAACATAACATTTATAAGATACTTTGTAGGCTTTCTTTTTATAATAAAGATATTCGTATATGGAGAATACAAAAACTCACTGGGTCTCTCTTCCTTTAGAAAAGTTCACAAAACGCACAAAAAAATCTAACCGCAGCTAGTTGATACGATCATACGAATTAGTGGGGAAATTGTCACTTCGCTAGAACTTCCATATTTTATTATAATTTATACCTAAAAAAACACTGCGCGCTATAACACTATTGTTAATTAACTCATTTAACATACATTAACAATTACATACTTAAACAGCGTAAACATTTTGAGTTGTGGCGAAAACAAAAGCAAGGTTTTGTCAATGCTAGTAAGTAAAGTACTAACTAGTAAGAAGTCATATAACGACAGCTAGTGAGTAATTCTTTTCAAATTTGGATGTGCAAATAGGTTAGCAATACGTAAGTATAAGGTGCATGTTCGAAAGAGATGGGTAAAGGAAGTTATCATAAGTTTGAAGTCGAATAATATTTTTTATTTTATTACGTTTAAATTGAAATGCACATTATTTATTTTAAAACCATAATTTTAAGAGATCTTTAAACTGCTTTAATTCTTACATAACTTGTTAAAGCGCTTTATGTAGGAAATAATAATATTGGGGTGTTCAACGTAATATTGACAAAGTTGTCATCATAGATAATAATCTTCTATATATATAAAAATGGATTGCTGTTCCTTAGTCTCGCTAAAACTTGAGAACGGCTGAACGGATTTATTTTATCTTAGTCTTGAAATGTTCGTGGAGGTTCAGGGAAGGTATAAAAGGTGAGAAAAATTGATTGATTTTCGGGAAAACCCTAAAAACAGCCCTTTTCTATTTCCCATACAAATGTTTTCTTTGACATTAGATTTGACAACTAACTAATATGTCAATCATTCTGTTCGATTGAAACAGGAAAAACCTGATTATTTATGAACTCTAGGACGGAACAGAGTTCGCCCGGTCAGCTATACATATATTACTAACTAGAAGACCTGGCGAACTTCGTATCGCCCTATAATCAAGAAATATCTACTACGTTTTTTTATTTATATTTTTAGAGTTTACCTGTAAGCCATAAATCTGCGTGTTTTGAAGTGCGACAGAATGATTGACATATTAGTTGTCAAATCTAATGTCACAAAAAACGTTTGTATGGGAAATAGAAAAGGGCTGTTTTTATGGTTTTCCCAGTAGTGAATCAATTTTTTTCAGCTTTTATACCTTCCCTGAACCTCCACGAACATTTCAAAACTAAGATAAGATAAATCCGTTCAGCTGTTCTCGAGTTTTAGCGAGACTAAGGAACAGCAATCCATTTTTATATATATAGAAGATAGAAGATAGAAGAAGAAGATAATGAAATTAACGCGGACGAAGTCGCGGGCAAAAACTAGTCTATACTAATATTATAAAGCTGAAGAGTTTGTTTGTTTGTTTGTTTGAAAGCGCTAATCTCCGAAGCTACTGGTTTGAATTGAATAATTATTTTTGTGTTGGATAGTCCAGTTATCGAGGAAGGCTGTAGGCTATATAACATCACGCTACGACCAATAGGAGCAAAGATATAGTGGTAAATGTGTAAAAAACGGGAGAAATTATTTCATCTTTGAAGCCTTCCGTTGCGTGCGCCGTGAAAACGGTTCAAGATACACAAAAAACATGTATTAAAGAATGATAGCTCTTTTAATGATCTAAAAAACAGTCCGCGACAGTATATGTCTATCTTTTAAGATTAACTCACAAAAACCGTTTTTATGGTACCTAATTTTGTCGAAATAATTTGTTTAAGTTGTATCAAAATAATAATATTAATCTTTATTCATATAAACAAATAAATATGTTGTTGGTTAAGAGTACTTCATTATTAATAAAAAAAAACATAGGTTTCATCCTGAAAATTCTACGGGAACTCGACCATTCCGAAAACCCTGCAAGAACGGTAACTGTGTGGGAAGAACCAAAAATCTGTCGGAAGTAACTATTCCACGCAGACGAAGCCGCGGCAAAAGCTATACACTATATTAGATATTGGTTATTATAAGGCCATAATGTCATACTACTTTGCATTCAATATTTTCATTCTCTATGTTCATACTTTTTAAGAAAAAGTAATATGATAATATTGACAATTATCCTCTACGAATTTAAAATGTCTAAAGAAATAATATTAAATTAAGTACTAATTGATATGTATCCCTTGGATTAAAAACGAAATTATTATATGTTGTTATAAATCTAAGGTTGTCTGTGCAATAAATATTCTTCATTTTGGTCTTTCCGTCCGTTTATCTTAATATTTTATTGTGTAAGGCTATAAGAACAATTAAAAAGATGATACACCAGAAACTGAGTTTAAGTGAAGCTCAAAAACAGTACGTCAGAATACTTTTAAACTTACTGACGGTAGTGACATTTACAAAATTCAGTTTATCTGTTTTTATACATATTTTGAATGATATATGTAGATTTGTATATACACATATTTTTGAACATACTATATTATATGAACAAGGAAACAAGACTGTTTTTATGTATTATTTTTTTAGACCCAGTTTCACCAATCATTGTTAAATAAGTAACTTCGTGTTAAGGCGTTTGATGCTCTTTTGACCTTTTTATCCTAGTGAATCTTGTCCACCCGTGGAGACAGGCCCAGTCCTGTGTGGAACGCTACCCATGAATAGATAGCTAGATAGATAGATTTGAAATATTGGATTCATACAAAAATTATAAATGTTTATACTTAAACTAAACACATAAATTGATTTTACTTAAAAAGTATAACACTATTAAAACACTTTTATAATAGTGGATTATTCTAGAAAGACGCCATATGGATTTCATTATATATAATATCAACACATAATAAGGAATTTAAAAATGAATGTGTCGATAACGGTTTACTCAATATAAGAGATACATTATGGAGAAATTAACATTAAAATGTACAAAATAACTTAAAACAAAGTAACTAACAGTACATACCGTCACACTACTATCGTACATCAGCTACATACACATGTCTTCATAGAAGGGTTCCTCTCGTCCGCAGACCACGTCCTAACAGACGCTCCACCAACAGCTTCGACCCTCATCTTGAATTATATATTCTACGAGTCCTGTAACGTAACGAATGATTCTAGTTTTTATTATGACAATAGATTTCTTACTTAAATATTCTACATACAAAAAGTCGCATTTTACAGAGTGAAAAACATAATAATAAAGAAGGCCATTAAAACGATATAACGTTGAAAAACCCTGCGGTCATTGTTACGCTTAGAGAATAATTAAAAAAAACTAGTACACAAATATTAAACAAAACTAAAAATGTTACTTAATAAACATTTGAATTTGAACGTCAATAATAAAAAAAGTAACAATTAGTAGGTACCTATGTGCAAAAAAAACACTCACCATGAAGTTAAACGATGGAAAACTTTATAATATAGTGTATTATCAGCTATGGTCTCAGCACTGGCCCACTCTTCCGGTGACCTTGTGAAAGTCAACAACTAAAAGCTGACATTATATCTCATTGCAAAAAAGCCTTTCCATCCGCCCTTACTATCAGTCTTGGGAAACAAGCTTAATGCTTGCGAAAACGACCCCATCGCCTGAGTCGACGCATTTGTTGAGCACGCGGCGTTAATAAACGAGATATACGACTTCACCGAGTCATCTTAATTGGCTGCGACGCGGTGTACGATAAAATAAAAGACATTAAAATTCCAATACCTTTAAAACATGTATGTGTATAGACATATATTTTAAACCCCCTTCCCCTCCCACAATCTCTCGTAAGATATTCCAGAATGTGGCTTTCTAACGTAAACGCGTTGGATTATTATTGTAAATAGTATAACTATGTACTTTTACATTATTTGTAATAATGTAAGTAAGAGTAATTGTAAATGTAAGACTAAATGGTAGACACTTTCATCTCGTCTGTCCGTGAATAATAGCTCTTTTAATGATCTAAAAAACAGTCCGCGACAGTATATGTCTATCGTTTAAGATTAACTCACAAAAACCGTTTTTATGGTACCTAATTTGGTCGAAATAATTTGTTTAAGTTGTATCAAAATAATAATATTAATCTTTATTCAAATAAACAAATAAATATGTTGTTAGTAAGAGTACTTCATTGTGAATAAAAAAAAATAGGTTTTATCCTGAAAATTCTACGGGAACTCGACCATTCCGAAAATCCCGCATAAACGGGAACTATGTGGGAAGAACCAAAAATCTGCCGGAAGTCACTACTCCACGCGGACGGAGTCGCGGCAAAAGCTAGTAAATTATAAAATGTTTAAAAAAATTACAAAAACACTCTTATAAAATACCAAACTAAAAAGTAGCATATTGGATATTTGTAATTATTATGCATTCAGTTGTATATATATATATATATATGAATGATTAACAATATATAAGTGTTTTTATTTTATTTTCAACTCATTAATTCTGCTAACTACAGATGGTTTTGTTTTGTAAACCATTATTAATAGCATGATGACTGTTAGTGATTGCAATTATTATCAAATCCCTACTAATATTATAAATACGAATGTAACTAAATACTAATGTATTATAAATACTGTCTGTTTGTTTGTTAAGTTTTCATTTCTTACCCGCTGAACCGTTTGTGATGAATTTTAGTATGCATATAAATGAAGCCTAGGAAAAGGACTTGGGCTTCTTTTTATCCCGATTATCCGTTGACACAATCCCAATACTACGCGGGTGGAACACTGAAGTGGAACCAGTTCAGGTTCAGTGGCCATAGTGACAGAGAACAACTGTGATGTACACGCAGACGGAGCCGCGGCCAAGAGAAAGTTACTATTGTAATTACAATCTTTTATTTAATTATTTAATCATTACGACGTGTCGGAAGCATTCAGTTAATGTAATAAAAAAAAATATTGAATAAATGAACATACACAATGATTCAATCGTACTATAAATAATAACAGAATAATATTATATATTCAACGGTACATACACTACTATCGTACATCAGCTACATACACTTCTCTTCATAGAAGGTTTCCTCTCGTCCGCAGACCACGTCTTAACAGACGCTCCACCAACAGGTTCGACCCTCATCTTGAATTATATATTCTCACGAGTCCTGAAACGTTACAAATAATACTATTTTTATACATTAATTGTTAACAAACTTACCAACTTACATTAAGAAGTCGCATTTCAGGGCGTGGCCGAAAATTGTAAAGATAATAGTTAAAATAAAAAAAAGGAAGCCATCAAAACGATAACGTTAAAAAACCCTGCGCCCAATGTATGTAACACTTAGGAAATAATTCAAAATTCCTACCATATACTACACAATAAAATAAACACTAATATGTTTAATTATGTATACAGTAGTATCTCTAATGACGGAACTAATAGTTGTCATAAGGGATTTCAGATAATCAATTAAATGATGAGAAGACATATTTGAACATCTTAGGTTTAAATGTAGTTTATGATCACTCATCTGAGTTTATATCCGTATTTACTTAAAAAGGAATCAGGTTATTTAAAACCGGGATTAATGTTTATTAAAAGACAAAAAATATACATATTTGAAGAAAATATGAAATAAATCTCGATATTTGCAAATCTAGTGAATCTGTGGTTTAAATTTATATTGTATTTAAAATGCTTTATGCTGTATTATAATTTAAAAGTTAATAAAGCAATCATAGTTAGTTAATATTAAGCTTAGTTATATGCCTGTAACTTACCTTTAGGAAATAATTGAGAGGAATTAGGAGAACTCCTTTGTAGCTGAACTTGATTCATATTTAAACCCAAGTTGTGATTACAAGATGCATCATTGTCTTCTTTTTGTGTATCAAGTTATCAATACATTTTTCAGTTTCAACAGAATGTGATGAGTGTACAGTCTCAAATGCTGATGCTGCTAAATAAAATATATTTTTAATACAAATAAATATAGTAAAAGAAAAGTTAAATGAAAAATCTTAAAATTGAATGACAACATATTGTCTTGATTGTATTTTCCTTCCTTGTTTCTTTTAGAGTTTCTGATTGAATGTAAATAGACTTGTAATTTTACATAAAAAACTATAAACAACTTTTATTGGTTTGTAGTTATCCAATGAAATTATAATCTCTGCATATTTAGAAAACTTTGTTTTTGTTTTACTTATGTAAACAAGTGACACAAGTAGTTATTTTGTGATACTGTTTGTAGGCACTTTCCTTTATTTAGATAAAAAAAAGGTAATAAAGACCGCACATTATAAATCTATCAAACCACATGTAAGTATATAAAAATGTTAAGATGACTTGTATACCTATTTCATTATATTCAATTAAATCTAATTTTTTTTTTTTTTAATTTTTAATTATGAGTATCAATTTCTAAAGTAAAATAATAATAATGTAAAATGTTATCCATGGTTATAAAGTATAATTGATTATTTATAGTTATTTTATATTAGTAGTATGTATTGTGTGCCTATAACTACTTGGGAAGTTGCTTACTTTAGATACTTACTTAAGAATAGAGCTGGTACAACATTTCGAGTGAGTCATTTACTTAAAGAATGGTAAAACTGTTCAAAATGACGATCACGTTAAGAATCTTCCTTTTGTTTCATGTCTTCATTTGAAATATTTTTTTCCATTGAATGAATTTCTCCAAATTTTGGTATTCAGGTTTAGGAAATTGATGAAAAGGACCTGAAAAGTTTTTTTTAGTAGAAGTCAATAAACTGTTACGATTGAAATTGATGTAACAAGAGTAGTAATTGATTGCATATAATATGACAAATAAGAATTTTATAGATTTTACTAAATAAGTATCGTACCTTTAGTCGCACACCGAAAATAACACTTAAATTTTCGTAGCATTTTTTCAACTTATCGGTAATCCAAATTCGTAGTTTGCAATCAAAATCCAAATGAGAAGAGCCGGTGTCGATCGTAGTCGCAGAAAACAAAGTCCAATTGAGAAAAGCCGGGGTCGATCGTCAAAAGGGTAGAAATAGGAGTCAATGATATATTAAGCCGGGTCAAATGTTTGAAAAAGAACGTACAGCACAAGAAGAAAAGTAAACGACGGCAAATGAACAACTGAAATAATTTAAAATATGTCCTAATGTCAAATCGATTTGAGAGCTACATACGACATCTATGAAGTTATGAAGGAAAATAGTGTCAAAGTTGTTGTGCTTCGTTCGTTAGATGGCAGCATTTTCTATACATTAATTTCCTAAACACGTTAATTATACGACAGATTCATCCAGTGTTGCCAACCGAAACGATTTAAATCGTATTTATACGACCTTTTTGACTCTTGTACGATGTACGATCGAGTTATCGAAATCGTATGTACAATATACGATTTTTTAAATGATCTCCTACGAAAAAATATACCTCCAATAAAACTATAAGGAATATGTAAAACTAAACTTTGTACTATGACTATAACTAACTATATTTAGTACTATACTATAACTATAAGGAATATGTAAAACTAAACTATATTCCAGAAACGGTAATTAAGAATTTCGCAGTGGTTTTAGTGTGTAGGGGCCTGCCCAGGCCGAGCCTCACACATCCCTCCCGGCTCCACCAAGGCCGGTTGGATGGCCCGTAAAAAGAGTTTCCACTACGTCATCAAAAAAAAATTATTAAAGAAAAAGGATCGTGTATAAACTTCAAGCCATGTGACGATATGCTGAGCAAATTAAATTTAAGTATGTATGTATGAACAAAAAATACAGGGTGACTGGTGGATTACTATATAACATAAATATTAATAAACTTCTAAGTAAAGTTAACCAAAAGTTATGTAATTAATTACGCATCGTATGAACACCCTACAGATTAGGTATACACACACACTTACACAGACGCGGCGGCGGCGTAGTGTTGTATCAATACGCCGCCGCACGCGGCCACACTTAGAACACTTGGAACGTGTACACACTTTATTTATTTATACGGAAATTTGGTCAAAAATTAAGTACCTATTTTTTTTACATAATTCGAATGAGAATCATGTACCGAGTATGCTCCTTAAATATTGATAGTAATTCACCAGTCACCCTGTATAATGCTTTTCCCGCACCTTCTGTGCTTAATAATTCAGATTGTGACTAAAGCAATTAATTTTTTTTTTCTGTTTTCAAAATATATGTTATTAATGAATATCTTAATTCCACATATTAATTGATAATTAATGTTAATTGAAAATTAAAATTATTTTCATTTTTATTTGATATACTTACGAAGTTTTATTGAAATTTCATTGCGTACTCTTTTTTTCTTGAATTTCAAGACAAAATACTATTTTTTTTAGTCTATAGTACGATTATCTAAAAAAATAAAGTTGGCAACACTGGTTTCATCCCCATTCCCCATGATTCTTAGTCACTTAGTGTGGCCAACCAGTCGTCTCGTTTATTGTTAGTTTTTAAATTTTATCAATTTCCATTTTATGATTTTACTATTAATTGCTTTCAAAATTCATTTCTCATGTTTCTCCAGTCCTTCCGGCTCCCTCTGGTGCCTCTGGTGGCAGTCGGCCGCGGCCTTCCTTATGATGGATGTGTTTTACGTCGGTTATCTTCATGGTGAGTGTTTTTTTTTGCACATAGGTACTAATAAATGTTACTTTTTATTTTATTGACATTACGTTCAAATGCAAATGTTTATTAAGTAACATTTTTAGTTTTGGTTAATATTAGTGTTTATTATCTGTAGTGATAAGAGTAGTAGTTTATTTTAATAGTATATTTTGAATTATTCTCTAAGCGTAACATTGACCGGAGGGTTTTTCAACGTTATATCGTTTCAATGGTCTTCTTTATTATTATGTTTTTCACTCTTTAAAATGCGACTTCTTGTAAGTCGAATATTTAAGTAAGAAATCTATTGTCATTATATAAACTAGAATCATTCGTTACGTTCCAGGACTCGTGAGAATATATAATTCAAGATGAGGGTCGAAGCTGTTGGTGGTGTGTCTTTTAGGACGTGGTCTGCGGACGAGAGGAACCCTTCTTTGAAGAGAAGTGTATGTAGCTGATGTACTATAGTAGTGTGTCGGTAAGGTCTGTTGGTTACTTTGTTTTAAGTTATATTGTACATTTCTCCATAATGTATCTCTTATATTGAGTAAACCGTTATCGACACGATTCATTTTATAATTCCTCATGTGCTGTTGATATTATATATAATGAAATCCTTATGCTGCTTTCTAGAATAGTCGCCTGGGACTGACTGAGTTCAAGTTTGTATCAACACAAAAATATATACTAGCTGCGCCCCGCGGTGTTACCCGCGGATTTCCGGGATGTAAAGTAGCCTATGTGTTATTCCTGGATGTAAAGTAGCCTATGTGTGCTTCCTGTATACAAAATATTATCAAAATCGGTTTGCCGTTTGAGTGTGAAGAATTAACAAACTTACACGCACACTTACAAACTCTTGCAATTATAATATTAGTAGAATTGAAAATCTTCTCGTCTCTTTATTAATTTCATTGAATATTTACAGCAAACGATTGCGGCGAAGGGATTCAAAGGTAGACAAAGAAAAATCAGTGGCCAAAGACAAAGAAAAACCTGAAACGAAGAAGGACAACGAAGAGGACTGCATCACCATCAGTGACGATGAAGAAGGTGACACATAACACACGACTCGTGAAGTTAACACAACACACGGCCAATTAAATGTAGCAAACATGAACCATTTGAATTACAGACCATCACTGCTGAAATAACTTTTGATGTGTTGACATTTATTATGATAATATTACAAGATTAATCCCTCAAAAGTTTCTCCTTTTCAAAGTTAATAAAACGTTTACATGGAAAATAATTTCAGGGCTTAACTGTTAAAAATTATATAGATTTTTTTTGTACTTAAAATTAAAATTTTAGATGGTTTTTTTTTTTCATAATAATTGGAATAATTGATAGTTCTATTTTATGTAAGCTTGTAATTCCATGTGCTTTAATGTGAGTATATAAAACTTGCTTGAAATGCCCTCATTAGAAATTATTTGTTTTCTAGAAGATTGATCTGTATGGATCTGTCAAGTTATCTTTTCTGATTTCAACCAAAAATATTGTATCTTCTATGTGTATAGACAAATTAGGTCATAACCACCAACAATTCTTGTATACAATTTTCTTTATGGAGCCATCTATTGTGTAATATTATTTTCACTGCTTCATAGCCTGTAGTTTTTCCAATATGTGTAAGATAATATTTGAAATTCTATTGTCTCTTTTATTACTATTGCATAAGATGTGAAAATAATATTATATACTGTACTGTATAATATTATGTACTGCACATTATTAAAATTTATAATTAAATCTAATTGCAGTTCGAGAACCTTCGAATTTCACAGCCGCTGCTGGGATGGGAGCAAATGAATTTAAATCAAAATATAGGTGAGGAAAATGTCATGGCAATAGATTGCTAAAATGTTGTAGTGCAGTTCACATTTAAATTAAACCTTATAGTCGAACATTTAATTTTTTAAATTTCTTCGAGATTACTTTTCACTACTCATTTTCATAGGGAGCCAATAAGTACACTTCATATAGACTTTATATATAAATTTATTATAAATGGAGTCTTAATATCATCATGGGTAATATGAAGTTAATATATTATTAAATAATGGGAGAGAGAGGAGCTTGGACAGTGTCCCAGGAACTGTTGAAGCTCCTCTCACGACAACGATGTACCCGACACACGCACCGTGAATACATTGAATGATGATTTGAATTGTTAATGATATATTTCCAGGTCAGTCCGTAGTCTGTTCGGTGAGGATGAAGCCTGCTACATCATGGACGCCAAGGTTCAAGGGAATATTGGAAGATATCTGAATGTAAGGGAATGTACGATAACACGGGTCTTGTAGGACCGACTGTGGTGTGATCTGTGTGTAGAGTAAGGCTGCCATCGAGAGAGATGAAACATTGACAATAGAACTATTCATCTTCAGTATTTAATATGTTACCACAACACAATGCGAGTAACTGTAAAGTGTTTTGTTGAGGTTTCTGATATAAACAAATATATGATAACAAGTCAACCATTGATATAAGCGAACATATCACCAAGCGTTAGTAACACTAAGCGTGATCTGTGACTTGTGTTGTATAGTATGAGGAATGAACTGACTAGGTGTCGGTTACAACCACTTGTCTTGATGGAAGTCTTACTATTACACTGTGCAGAAAGGTTCAAATGTCTTCAACGTCCTTATTCCTGCAAACACTCATCCAAGTGTATCAACCCAGCACCTCCTTCGTTCCAACACTAACCGGTCTGTTCCCACTGCCCCACACCTCCTTCATGCCAACACTAACCGGTCTGTTCCCACTGCCCCACACCTCCTTCGTTCCAACACCAACCGGTCTGTTCGCACTGCCCCAGCACTCGTGCATGCCGAACGTGTTCGTTCAGAACGTGTTCGTGGACACGCACGACCCTCGCTTCCCGTGGGTGTCTTTCTTCGCTCTCCGCGCGGTGCGGGCCGGGGCCGAGCTCACGTGGAACTACAACTACGACGTGGGTTCCGTGCCCGGGAAGGTCCTCTACTGTTACTGCGGGGCCCCAACGTGTCGCGGCCGGCTGCTGTGACCTGGCCCACTCACACACACCTTGGACTTCATTACTGTATATATGGGACTAATAAAATGTATGAAACATTTGGCAGCTTTATTCCACCCCCAATGTTTTTTATAATTAGCCATATAAGCTGATTGAGTATAAAAATGCTAGCATTATTTAGTTAGCACTTGAGTAAGTATTAAGTAAGTATTTTATTATTGCTATTGGTGTATATATGTAGAAAAAACTATATACATGTAAAGAATAGACCCGCGGTAATACATTATATTGGTTAAAAGGGAAAATCTACTTAATTTTGTTTTTTCGCAGCAGAAGTTTTTGAATTTATGGGGGTATGTGGTATAATCCAACCGGTTATTCTATCTGGCTACTGCTAAAGTGTATTATTTTTAGAGTATTTTCGGTTCGCTTTTACATAGAAGTCTGTCGAAGATTTTGGAGGGAGCTAATTGGTCTTTATTCCAATCACAGTTCCTTTCCAATTCCCGTTTAAACTTAAAATTTTTCGTTATTACCATTAGAGCTTTATCATACAATAAATATAATTCGCGTGTAGTAGTTTAACAAGAATGAATTATCTTTTAATTTAATTCGAAACTACGAGAAGGAAAGTAAGGAAAATAGAAAAAACTAGCTGAAGCAAAAGTTCAGGTGTCTAAATCTATTTTCCGTTTCAAACCTGGTACTTTAACTACAAATAATAAAATAACTAATTATTACTATTACTTGTTACATCCCTACTAATATTATAAATGCGAAAGTAACTCTGTCTGTCTGTTACGCTTTCACGCCTAAACCACTGAACTGATTTTAATGAAATTTGGTACAGAGATAGAGTTGACTTTGAAAAAGAACATAGGATAGTTTTTATCCCAGACTTTTGAAAGGTTCTCTTGGAAACGCGATATAACGCGAACTCCACGCGGGCGAAGCTGCGGGCGGAAAGCTAGTAATTAATATATGAAACCCAAAAAATATTAATATTTGTGCATTTTTTTCGAGTTTCTTGGAATACAACTTCTTGATAATATTCGATTATTTTTTTATTTTAACGTTTAACTTTTCTTATACAGTACTACAGCATTGCTAATGCTATTGATCTTATGAATTGTAACCTTAAATCGATTAGTGAGTGGAGCAAGTCATACGGATTAGCGTTAAATGCCAGTAAGTCACAGTTAGCTATAGATGGCAATCCAAAACAACTTTCAAAACTTAGTCAAGTTTATGTTCCTCCCGTATTGTTTGACAGTACAACTTTGATCAATAATAATATTGTCACCAACTTAGGTCTTATAATTGATAATAAATTTTCTTGGACAGAGCAAGTGTCAAATCTAAGTCGGAAAATGTTTGCAGCTATTGGCTCATTGAGAAGGTGGAAGAAGTTGTTGCCAATCAAAACTAAAATTTATCTTTCGAATGCACTTCTTCTTCCCATTCTAGATTACACAGATGTATGCTACTTAGGTCTATCCGAGGAGCTACTTGATAAGCTGGAAAGGTTGCAAAACATGTGCATACGATTTATTTTTGGATTAAAAAAATTTGACCACATCTCTGAATATCGTGCACGACTTGGATGGCTTACAGTCAGACAAAGACGTAACTTGCATGCCCTTTCTCTTCTTTACTCTATTCTTTTCTTTCCCCAAACTCCAACTTATCTCAAAGAACGCTTTTCCTTTCTTGGCTCTAATTCTTCTCTTCATCTTAATCTTCGTTCTCTATCGGACAATAAACTTCAGTTGCCCCTTAGCCAGTCACATTGTTACAGTGATTCTTTTACCGTCAAATCTATAAAATTATGGAATGCGCTTCCACATGACATAAGAATGTCACAGTCTTTAAATATATTTAAAAGTCGAGTCAAGCTTCATTATATGTCACTGTAACTACTCCTTTTTATACTATATATACTAGTAAACCTGGCGAACTCCGTTTCGCCACCAGAAGGCTTTTATATAACATTTCGTTTGGTGATTAAAAGATGAAGAATTTTTTGTTTTATATTTGAAAAGGAAAATTTTTATTTCATTTCACAACAGTAATGAATTCATTTCGATTACAAAAATGAAGTGTTATTTAGTTGAACTTCTCTAAGTAAATGAAAGTGAATCCAAAGTAGATACCGAATCGAAGCGTTATACGTGTCCGCAAATTATCCGTTTCATTGAAGTGCTCCTTTGTAAACCACATTTTTTGTTTTTTGGTCTAACTTTAACACAAATAAAGCGTATGGTTTCCAAACTCGTGAACATACAAAATATAACTACCCATGTGAAAAACAATGATTTTCTAAATTTATCCCGCAAATACTAAATGGTTTTAAGAGTTCAAACTACTAACACATTACCTAAATATTTTTATTTTTATATAGTAGATTTCTTACAAATATCTAATTGTCATCCATACGTCATTACATATCTGTCATTATACGTCAATTGCATAGCTGTCAATTGTGTTATTCCACGTTTTATAGTGACTGACGTTTCATGTCAAGTCCCACGGGAATGCTGTCGAACGGGATAAAAAGTATCCTATTGGAATTTCCTGGTTCTAAACTACCTCCCTGCCAATTTTCAGCTGAATCGGTTCAGCCGTTCTTGGGTTATAAGTGAAGTCACTAACACGACTTTCTTTTATATATATAGATATATATATATATATTTTATGTATGTATATATGTATGTATGTATTTAATATGTATGTATATATGTATATATAATTATTTGTGTGTATGTATACTCTGGTATATGTATTTGTTTTTTTTACGTTCTTGTGTATGTACATATCATAATATGCACTACCCTTTCTATAATATTTGTTATCCTCATCGGTTGGGTTGCCTGTAAGAGATCGCTTTTAGTGGTAAGGCCGCCCTTGCCTTAAATTTTCTGTTTTTGTTTGTAATGTTATTTCCTATATGTTTAAGTGCAATAAAGTTTATTTCTTCTTCTACAGTACATTAATTAAGAGGGCGTTCCCGTTCATCCGCAAGAGTATAACATCCATTCATGCTAAAGAAATATAACCAATCTAAAACAAAATGTTTTTTATTTAAAAAAAACTCTACGTACACGCATACTTGAAGAAAGGCATCGTCGCAATTTATTTATGAATGACGGGCCGCGTGTGCGATGATCGATTGATCTACGATATTAAAGTGTCGCCCCGCCCCCTCCCCGTAAAAATATAAAAGATTTGTTTATAGTTTTCTTAAATTTACTTAACATTATATGGGTCCTATATAGCGTGTTCTAAAAACTGTGTCCTTCCTTAAAGATTATTGTATACATATAAGTATAAGCTTATTATTAAAAATAGTATGACTTAAAAAATATCAAGCAGAGGTCAATTACAGTGCATAGGCTAAATAAGTTTTAAATCGACATTATTTGACATCCGACCCATAAACGGTTAAAGGGCGCCGTATAGTCGCTCCGGCGCACGCGCGGCCATTCATCGCAGGCGCCGGGCTGCCGGCGTGGCGCGAGGGCGGCATTTGTTAGTTCTTCGAATAGAGATTTGCAAGTTTAAAAGTTAGGTATATCGATAAATATTCTATCGATATTTTCAATATTGCTATTTATAATAGTTATGCTTTTCACAATAAAATAATTTCATTTAAAATAACTTTTATTAATAATATATTAATCAATATTATAATTTGGAACTTCTTCAAGTAAATTAACTATGTTGTATTATTAGGATAAATCGTTAATCTATTTCTGTTAAAAATGGTGTTTTACAATCAAAAATAATATTAATGTTTGATATATCAAAATAAGTATCTAAATAATATGAATATTAAATATTGATTTATTGTTATGATTTTTTAAATATCGATATTTTTTATTCGAGCCTGCCCCGCCCTTTTAATAAAAATTCGTGGAAATTTCTTTCGAGTGGATTACTTACTTTTTGGTTGCGGTTTTATAAAGTTGTGTTATTTTATAAAATGTATTCCAATCAGGAATATTTCTGTGTGTTAATGTGTCTAGTGAAATGTGATTATGTGTCTAGTGAAAAGTGATTATTATAATTGTGTGTAATTATGTGGAATCGCGTAGACTTTATGACGAACTGTTTGCTTCTCCAAGAAACATACCATTACCGTCACTTAAGGCATTTGAGCGTCTTCATATACGCATGTACAATTTCGGAAATGTCGATGGCCGTGAACAACAACGTGCTAATGAGAGAAGGCCGAGGGTTAATAATGACGATCTGGAGGAACACATATTAGATATTTTTCGACAGGACCCTACGGAAAGCACGCGTGGACATCTACTCATCATCACTATACGCGTTTTAGTTAACTAAGTGTTATTTTAAATTGATTTGTAACATAGTGAAACGTATCGATATTTGAAAAAAAGTGGTATCAGTGAATCGTTAAAGTGATTAAACAATCAAAATAATGTGAATGTGCGTTCGAGTTCGTCACTGGTAGCGCAGCAGGTGTGATGGCGGTAAATTATTTAATATTTAATTTTATTATTTGTATTGAAGATTTTGTAAATGTAAGTTGTTTCGATACTGATAACGTAGTTAAGAGGGTTGACACAATTTTTCATACACACTGTAGGTATATTAGTTTGAGCATTGCGCCTGAACATTTTCTTGACATCTTGACCTGCGGACCTTGCTTTTAGAAATATGTCGCATCGCAGAGTAATAATGTGTGTCGAAAACAAAACACTATATACTTTGTGGAATAGAGCATAAATAACGTGACGGAACAGCGATTGAAAAATGATACAAGATGGTGCTGCAGGTGTTGATAATTAAAATGCACAGTCTGGTCTATTTATTTATATTTTTTGACTGACCACGATCGATTGGACTAACGATCGCGCTCGACCGGTTGGCCACCCCTGGTTTAGACTATAGTAGAAGCAATTAATAAAACGCGGTTATTTTCGAGGTACAGTTTTAGATTTGTTTTTCAATGTTCGTTGTTACTTTTAGTAATGTCCTGCATAATGGCTGAAGCCAGTATTTAT